TCCTCTGAACTAGGATGTCCCGACATGAAGGTGAGTGCGAGGCCGGAGCAGGCCGGGCCTGGGCGATACGAGCCGGGCAGGGGGAGAGGAGCGAGGCAGAGGTGGCTCATCATGGCGCCGCCGACGCCGCACTAGGAGTGGTGATGGGAGTAGTAAGTCGGCTGGGGAGAAGCCGGCAGTCGAGCCCGTCCGAGGCGGCGAGCCACGGCGGCAGAAGGGCGGGCCGGCCCCGCTTTGCATTGTCATGGGGCCTATGTCCGTTACAACTCCTCTTTCGCCCCGATCCGCGGGTGGCCTGAGGTGCGGCCTAAAAACCGGCCGAGGCCGTTCTGAGAGCCTCGGGGCCGGGCCTGGCCTCGGGGCCGGGCCTGGCCCCGGCCCCACCCTAGGGGGGAACAGTTATGGGGCGAAGGTTTCCCCGGTTCCCGGGACGATCTCTGCCTTTAGGGTGGGCGTCGTTGATAGAGGAGGGAAGGGGCTCTGAATCGGCAAGAGCCAGATGGCAGGGTAACAAGGATGGGCTTCAGGGTGGCTCGCATATTGGACCGAGTTGAGGGTTGTTATGGGGCACGTGGGAATGACGTGCCTAGATTTGAAGGGTTAACGGCGGAAAGTGTTGCCGAATTAAATCGGAGGGCGATACAGCTTGGTAGGCCCCACAGAAGGAAAAGTTTCGTGGGCAGACGTGAACCTGTGCGAAGGACAGATGTTGGGAAAGATGTGAGGGCTAAGGTACTGGCTGACGTTGTGTTTGCTGGAGGGGTATGGATAACCGGGAACACATCGTAGCCGGTTAAAGCTGTGAGTGGGGGAAAGAGACAAGCTAGGGTGGAGAACGACTTGCAGCAGGGCCGCTGGAAATGCATACTGGGGAGTGAGGTTAACGGTCAGAGATCATAGGCCCGAGAAGTGGGGAGTGTACCTTGTGTACTTAAGGAAAAAGTGTATTCAGAGATACTTGTACTAAGGTTCAGTCTGTGCACATGAAAATGTGAGTTTTGAAGAGGAAGTTGATACTGAACTTGCATAAAGTTTCAGGGAATGCACACTTGAATTCCAGAAAAAGGCATAATAGCCATGAGGAGTGGAAAATAATTTCAAATTGAGAAAGATACATGATGCAGATCAAGTGGAATATGTAACTATAGATGAATGTATATGTGGTATACTCAATTGGCTGAGAATGCAAGTTGAGTTTGGGATTTTTTAAAGGAAGCTTAAAGTTTTATAGATAGCAGTTTGTCCAGTAATGAGTAAAATTTCCACTCTTTAGGTACTTGTCTCATCAAGCATCCTTGTATCTTGTGGTACTTTATACATATTTGCAAGTAACTTTTTAAAAAAACATAAGAATAGTTCCTTAAACAAATATTTTTGTTGACAGAATATAATGCTATCCCTCACTTTACTTACAAAAGTTCAGTTTGCTCTATTTTCATTGTTGAAATAAGGAGAATTTGGAAAAGAATATCCCGAAGAAGAAGAAGAAAAGAAACTATATGCATGACTGATGGATCATTCTTTGTCCTCCTATTTTGAAGATGAGAGTGAATCAGAAGTTACTTGTTCAAACAACTTTTGGCCAGATTTGGGCAAATTCAGTACTAGGGAAAGCAAAGTATAGGTTTAATTGCCAGTGGGTCTGAAATATTGTTGTGGAAATACACAACAGGTATTTGAAGTTCTGTGTAATGAAGTAGTTATGACAAAACAGCACTTTTTAAAGATAATCGAAGACGTTAACTATGTCTTTGAACAAGGATTTTCAATCCTTTGCTCCTGGTTATTGCCTTTTCATGGTTAGGATTTCATCAGTTGATGGAATTTCATACAAAAGTATAGTTATCCTTCATAGTTTAAATAGCTTAATAAGGGAATTCATGAAAGGTAGCTCTGTCATAATTATTAGCCATTATAGGTTAATGGAACTTCCATGTTCAGAGGCAAAATGCCATTGAATTCAATTTACTTGGAGCCAAATGATAACAGAGGGCTATTGCTCTCCTCTTAATTTTCATGGAAGCTTTTGTCTGGTCACTGCTGGAAGTCATACTGGACTGGTTAAATTTTGGTCTGTTTCAGTAAAGCTGTTCTTAGTAAAATGAGTAGTAAGTTATCCTACTGTTGTCTTTTTGAGGAATGAATGGTTTTTAAATTGTTTTTAAGGGCTGCAATCAAGCTGTATGCAGATTTAAAGCATGGTAGCAGAATAAAGCTCCATTATAGCTATGCTGATTAAAATTATAAAGGAGAGATGCCAAGTACTTGTGAGGTTTGTATATATTCTGTTGATACCAGTTCTTCAACATCTGAGAGCTTTCCCTATAAATAGCAATAATAGTGGATTTTTCTTTTTTAAAAAAAACTTGATAGTGAGATCTTGGAGATATTGTAAGTATACAATAAAGTGGAAAAACAATTTGAAATGCTGTTGTAATATGTACATGTCTTTAGTTTTGCAGCTGATTCCTGTGTGTATTAACTCAGGTGCCAAGTCAGTGTTACACTGCAGTCTTAAAGTTAGTATATTACCTTCAGTAGATTTTGGTGATGAAGAAAATGTTATTCTGAACATTTTTATGAAGTATTGATATTTGCTTAGGGTTTTCTATGTAAATAATGTTGTCCGAGGTTCTTAACCTCAGCAATTCATAAGAGAAAGAATATTGAAGACATGATGCAAACATAGCTGTGCTGCTACTTTCAGTGTATGCTCTACAATACTCTATCTGCTAGAGAATCTGTTGCAAAATTCTTTTAGAAACATTGATTACAGAAGCTGATTTCCTTAAGTAGATGTCTGGTTGTTATGTTTTGGACAGGTGTCATCAGCAAGCAAGTAATAATGTTGGTAGAAATATCTCTTTAAAAGTTGATTGGTTTTGTTGTTTGACAACTAACATGGGGAATTGGAGGCAAAGAACCAACAGTTGATAATTTTGAAGGCCTCAGGCTATCAGGGCCACATTGTTCAGGGTTGTTTACAGGCAACAAAGCATTTGAATTCTATATTAGAACAGGCCTTGAATTTTAGGGAGCCAGTTTATTGCTGATACAGTTAATAATGTTGCACTAGTATAACAACCTCTTACATATTCTGACTGCTGGGATCCTTGCTGACATTTATGCAGATGAAGCCATTATGCTGCAACTAGCTTTATTTATTATTTTCTTCAGGAAAACTGATGAACATCTGGGTGCTTCACCTACATTGGCTACTCTCTTTCTTGTACTTGGTTAATAGTTCCGTTACTGGCCAAGAACTGATGAACTCCTTCATTAGGTTCTAGTAGCCTTGTAAGGCTACTGTAGTCCTCGCCATGAGCTTATAGGGACATCCATTGGGAAGAAGAAAATATTGTGGTTTGTCTGAAATTTGCATATGTAATTCATACTGAGATCTTGGGTCTATAGAAGTTCTGGCTTGACCATTCCTTTCACTGTGAAAGTAAACATCCATCCTGTATCCCTATAACACTTTGAATATTAATCTCCAGTGATGGAGGTTTGAGCCAGGAATAGCCTTTGCCTATCTGAATTTTACACTTTTTAAACAGTGTTTAGCTCAAAGTTTCAAAACATTACTGTACAATACAGTCTCAGAGATAAGCAGGCTAAAAATATGGCACACTTGCACAGATTATCCTGGGGTGGAGAGATTCACAGATCTGTAAATAAAGTTGAACCACTGAATTGTGATACTGCTTTTTTGTATATTCATTATGTCCTGCTTCAATATCTGCTGTATGTACATGTTGAGAACATCTTTACAGGACCAGTCAATGTCCATCTAATTCAGTAATTTGTTTTGAACAGCACCTAATGTGGTGACCTTGGGAAATTCATAAACCAGAGCATGAGGGACATGTGTCTCTTACAGTACTCAAAAGCTTATTATCTTGGGTTACCAAATTCCATTTTTAATTCTCTGACTTAATATTCATTGAAAGACACTTGTTCCTTGTTCCTTCTAATAAGCCTGTTTTTAATGTCATTAACCTTGTAGGTTCCATGTCTTGAAGCAATAAATTTCTGCTTCGCTAACTTTAAGTTCTAATAAACTTAAAGTTAGCCAAGAGAAACAGCTTAAGCCCATTAGAAACTGTGTATAATAGAGCATAGTTCTGTTATGATATGGTCCTAATAAGCACTCATTGGCTACATTATGGAATATAGTAAGCCATAATGTGGTTGGGTTTGGTTTAGAAGTTTGTGTACCTAGCTATTGTGATTTGTAAACCATGGTTTA